AGTACAGCTGAACAGAGACCCTTGGGGTCAGTGGCAAAGGCAGGCAAGCAACCCACTCCTGCCCCACAACCCAGCCTGGGGCCATCGGAACCATACCTTACAGCCCATGGCCAGGAGGGCATGGAGCACCACCACAGTGGACAGTAGCACTGCAGCCACCAGTCTAGTGTCTTCACGGACGACAGGCCAGAGGGTGAACACCAGCCCAGCAGCTGACAAGGTCAAGGCCAGTGCCCCAAAAAGCCACTGCAGCCATGGCACAGGGATGAGCCACAGGACCTGAGGTGACAGGGGCAGCTAGTGACTGTGCCAGATGATCCCTTTGGCTCCTACCATCTACCTATCACCAGGCCATACTCACCACAGTGGGGATAAAGACGAAGAGGGAGTAGCCATAGATGCACACGGTCTCTAGAAAAGTGTAAGGTCCCATGCGTTCCCGGATGCCCTTGCGCCACCGCAGGAAACCCCATAGCGCCAGCGGCACAAGCCACGCATAGCAATAGATGGTGATACCTGCCACAGTTACTGGGAGGCAAGGCAGCAGTTACATCTCATGACCTGGGGCCTGTGGCTGCCAGGGGCAGAGCCCATCCACTCTACTTACCCTTGTGAAATTGGGGGCTATAGTGGACAGAGGGGTCCCTCCTCTGGGCCAGCACCAGGGTCAGGTTGCCAGTGACTGCCAGGACGAAGGCCAGGGTGGCACAGATCCAGAAAGGGCCTGTGAGGAAGTCATAAGTCCAAATCCCGGGCTCAGTGCTCCCAGAGGGGGTGAATGTGTCTTGTCTCTATTGCTGGGGAGGTCAGGGGGACCCCAGCCACTCATTTGACTCTCAATTGGGACATTCTGGTGGCTGGATTTAATGCTGCCTCTTAGTTCATCCTTCTCTGCCTGGGAAGGCTCCATATGGCTAGAACCCCATGCTCTAGCTCTTGTCTCACATCACTAGCAGCAATTCCTCAACTTTTTCAACTCTGATAAAGCCATTAATGGAAAGCAGGTGGGGCTCAGTCCTTGGCCCTACTCCATGTCCCTGTTCACCCCTGGCATAGTCTTGTTCAGCCTTAGGGTTCCCTGTTATTTCTATACCAATGATTCCCAGATGGTAGAGTGTCCCAAACTGTATACTCATACATGTTCACTTTTCAAGGTGGACATTTTGAGGTGTCTCCATCTCCACCCCAAACTTGCTCCTTCCCCTCCAACCTGCCCAGCTTTTCCCATCCACCCACAGCAACTATGCTGGTGGTTCAGGCCAAAACCTTTGGGGGTACCCTTTGCTTCCCTCACCACCCTGACTAGTCTGTCAGCAATATCCTGTTGGTTCTGCCTCTATAACACATCCCAGAACCAACCACTCTCTCTGTCCTCAGCCTCCATGAGTTGTCTCCTGCCTGGTCTCCCATCTTCCATCCTTACCCCCGATGTGGCCAGAGGGGAACCTAGGAACACCTCATTAAGATCCTTTCTCACCACAGTATGGGAGCCTGTGCCACTTGTCCCAGCACTTCAGTGACATCCTAATAGCTCACTTCTTTTCAGTGACAGGGCAACCCTCCAGTGCGGGGATGTCTCTACCTTAAGGCTTGGGCCATTACTGGGACCCTCCTCCTCTAGATCTGTCCACCCCTGACCAATACTTGCCAATAAGGCTCATTCTCTTTCCTCAGAGACCTTCCCTGACCCACACAGACACAACAGCATCACCCTCCACTCTACACTGCTTCCCTTCTCTTCTCAGCCCCATCATCCACTACAGTCTGTTATGTCTCTGTCGCCCTAAACAGAACACAAGTTTCACTCTTGGTGACTACTTTGTTCTCAGCTGTACAGCAACACTTGCCATTCAGTCCACACATGCTGAATGAATAATCAAATGCACAAACTTACTCACCATACAGATCTGGACGGTTTCGCAGATGGTGCCGTACAAAGTTGTGGCCAGGCCAAGGTAGGAGTGAGCCTTTGATCCGGTCTAGGACCTGAAAGACAAGCCACAGTCCAGGATGGAAGCCTGCCCAGGGTTCCTCCTGTACTTTGGGAGTTTCTTTCCCCAGTGACCTCTTCTCTCCTCTCTCCATGCCCTACCTGAAAGAGCTCAGCTCGCCTCTCTAAGCCTTTTTTTTTTTGGGGGGGGGTGTTGAGGATTGAACCCAGGGCCTTGTGCATGCTAGACAAGCACTCTACCAATTCAGCTATACTACCTGCCCTCCCCTCTAAGCCTTTTTTAAATTATTTTTTTAAATTGAATCCTGGAGGGTTGGGGATGTGGCTCAAGCGGTAGCGCGCTTGCCTGGCATGCGTGCGGCCCAGGTTCAATCCTCAGCACCACATACAAACAAAGATGTTGTATCTGCCGATAACTAAAAAAATAAATAAATATATTTTTTTAAAAATCTCAAAAAAAATAAATAAATTGAATCCTGGAGCACTCTACCATTGAGCTACATTTCTTTATTCTTTTTTAATTTTGAAACAGGATCTCACTAATTTGCTAAGGCTGACCTCAAAACTTTTGATCCTCTGGAGTCAGCCTCTCAAGCAGCTTGGATTATGGGCATGCACACCACCATGCCTACCTTCCCTCTAGGCTTTTGACAAGATGTTCCCATGGCTTAGAGACTCTTCCCCTGGTCACTAAGTTGAGCTCTCACTCAACTTCCCAATACTGAAGGCTATCTTCCAGGCTGCCACTTTCCTGTTTGCTTCCCCTTAGACAACTTGGCTGCCTAAACTGCCCTTGACACTTCCCAGCCCCAATAAAGACAGCCAATAAGTCCTGGGAAATCTTCCCTCTACATCTCTGTGTAGCACCAGTGGCACGAGACAAGACACATTCACTTGCTCTCATAGTCTGTGACCCTGGTTTATTCTCATTAAGCCTGGCTGGAGCTGGGCATGGTAGCATACATCTGTAAGCCCAATGACTCAAGAAGGTTGAGAGAAAGGAGGATCACAAGTTCAAGGCCAGCAAGGGCAACTCAGAGTCTCAATAAATAAAAAGGGCTGGGGTTGTAGCTCAGTGGTACAGTACTCCAGGGTTCAATCCCAAGTATCCCCCTAGCACAGACGGAAAAAAAAAAAAAAAAATCCTGGTCTAGAGCTCTGATCCATGTGCACATCTGGTCATCTCATTCCTCTCCTGCTCTGACCCTTCTGACTCCCCAACACCCTCAGAATAAAACCCAAACTCTAACTCCTTAACACAGCTCATGGCTGGGCAAGTTAGCACATGAGTAGTCCCAGCTACTCAGGAGGCTGAGCTAAGAGATCCTCTTGAGCCCATGAGTTTGAGGCCAACCTGGGCAACAAGACCAGACTCCATCTCAAACAAAACAGTAAACACAAAAAAACTAAAAACAGCGTATGAGGTCCTCTGTGATCTGCCTTCTGCCTGTCCCCCATCTCACACTCTCCCACCAGATTTAGTGATAGGTAGCTTCTACTACTAGAAGTAGTAGAAGTTCATGACTCCTCTCGCCTTTAGTCTTCGCATATACTGTTTCCTGTGTCTGGAACATAACTTGTGCTCCCATCCACCCTTCCTGGGTAACCCTCCTTTCTCTGTTAGGTCTCAGCAAATTCCTCACTTCCTCCTGGAGGCCTTTCCCTATTCACCAGATCATGTGCATGTAGGGGGGTTCCCCCCTCTTTGTTCCCACAGCCCATCACCAAAATCCTTAGAAAATACCACCATTCCTTTTACTAGCCTGGGTAGGAGCATTTGTTTTCCCATGTAGCTGTTACCAGCACTCTGGCTCAGCTTGGTGCTCAGTGGATACTGGCTGAACAGCCAGCATGACTCTGAGCCCCTCCCATCAGCTTCCAGGCCTCACCTGTGAGGTATCCACATCAAAAAAGCTCTGATAGTAGCTGAATGTCCAGAATCCCGGCTGTGGCTTCTCCTCCTGTAAAAGCTGCAGAGTGTGGGATTTCACTGCTTGCTCTTACACCCTACCTCAGCCAGGGGGTGGTCAGAGTCAGGGAACCGCGACTTAGGTGACTCACCGCTGTCTTGTCACCCTCTTCCTCCACCTCTTCCTCTACTCCATAGCTGCCACCAGAGCCGACAGCCACAACTACGTGCCCTTTTGGGGTCAGCTGATCACTTTTGCTGGTGGTAGCTGCATCTGGGGTCTCAGCCAGAAGATTAGTAGCTTCCTCAAATTCTATGGAGAAGAAGGAGAAATGGGACAAGGCGCGTTTTGAGGCAATTGTGCATGGTCCACTGCTCATGGCGGGGGCTGAGGTTATAACAGCGGCAACCTCAACTCTCTCCCGAGACAGGGCACAACTTCCTCAGTTCCGGGGCATGGGAAGTAAGACTGTTCCCTTACTCCTAACGTGGGAATGCAACTCAGGGTTGGTCCTTGGATAGACTCAGGGCCTCGGGATACGGAGTCTAAGTTCAGGACCGGAGCGCGGTTCGAATGCGGATGGGGCTCATTCTTGAGGCAGGTTTCCGGTCTGGGGTCAGAGTACACAGCCGCGTGGGATTCGGATTAAGTAAGAGATGGAAGCTGCACGGGAGCTTCTGGCCAGGGGCGGGAGCAGAAGTTCCCGCCACGTAGGGTCCGCACTCACCGTGGAAGGCCAACCCGTCAGCCGCTGCCATGGTTGTTCAGGGGCGTCACCGCATCCCGCTCTGAAGACAGAGGCCGATCAGACTCGCGCCCCTCCCAAACCCTATTCCTCAGCCCCGAGCCCTGCCTCGTGGCTAACAACACCCACCGGGACTTAAGCTCGCCGCCCGGTCCCTCAGTGGTACCCCGCCCTCCTCACCTGAAGCTACCTTAGCCGGCGTGGCCGGGGCTCTCTGCGCCTGCGCGGGACGCCTACCCGTCAGAATCAACCCTGCTTGGATCAGAAAGCAACATCCGGTGCTGGTCCGTTTTCTATTCTCCTCCGGTGGAAAGCCATGTCCGGAAACTCACAGAAGAGACCCTACTCCCCACTCCCCCGTGGGGGGGAGCCTTTTACTTCAGGTATGAGGTGTTTCTCATCGGACTAAGGGCCCTAGGCCGGAAGAGGATGGCGACGGCTGCTCTGAAGAGATTTTGGTCCCGAGGTCGCGGAGAAGGGGGCGTTGAGGCTGGAAATGCTGCCGTGGCGGGGAAGCCAAGCGTGTGGGCGCGGCTGGGTGAGTAGTGGCGGAAGGCAGTGGGATGGGTGCCCGCAGCGACTGAACGGCTCCGACAGCGTTTCTTTTCCCTCAGGCGACTGGGCCCGCGCACTGCTCTGGGACTACGCAGAGGCTTGCCGGGACGCGGTGGCTGCGGCGCGGGCTCGGCCGGGGCGCGCAACACTGTACATGGGGCTGCTGGGCGGCGCCGCAGCCTGCTGCGCTCTGGCGCCGAGCGAGGAGGCCTTCGAGGAGGCGCTGCTCGATGCGTCTGGGACTCTCCTGCTGCTAGCGCCAGCCACTCGCAACCGCGATTCCGAAAGCTTCCTGCAGCGGCTCCTTTGGCTGCGGGGCCGCGGTCGTCTGCGCCATGTGAATCTGGGGTTCTGTTCTCTCGTGTACGAGGCGCCCTTCGACTCCCAGGCCAGCCTCTACCAGGCCCGCTGCCGCTACCTGCAGCCCCGCTGGGTCGACTTCCCCGGCCGAATCCTGGATGTGGGCTTCGTGGGCCACTGGTGGATGCTGAGCACCCGGATGCGCGACTGCGACATCAACGATGACGAGTTCCTGCACCTGCCGGCACATTTGCGCGTGGTCGGACCCCACCAGCTGCACTCCGAGGCCAATGAGCGGCTCTTCGATGAGAAGTACAAGCCTGTTGTGCTCACCGACGATCAGGTGGACCAGGCGCTTTGGGAGGAGCAGGTGTTGCAAAAGGAGAAAAAGGACAGGCTTGTCCTGAGCCAGGCCGACTCGCTAGTGCAGTCGCAGGTCGAAAGATGAAACCCAGTAAGAGCGTGAGGCCAGACTGGGGTCTGAGCCCTGGCAGACTGTGGAATGATGAGAGTGAGACGTAAATTATATGCACTGTTCTCTAACTGCTGTTGTTGAAAACAAGTTTGGAGAGCCATACTCCCTATCTCTTTGTTCCTTATTAGTGAAGCTAGTTCACAGTCTTTTTGGTCTAGGAATTGGGTAGAGCAGAGTTGACTAATGTTTTTCACTGCCAGAGCTAGTAATGAGCCTTTTACATAAGTCTTTTTAGGCAGGGAATGTAATAGCTCAAGTGGTAAGGCACTTGCCCCTGGCATCCCTAAAGCCCTAGGTTTGATCCCCACTACCACAAAAACAAAAGAAAAATACTTCATCCTTTTTCACTGTGTGACACAAGTCCCTTGACAGTGGTACTACATTGGTCTGGTGACTCCCAAACTCTCTTCCAAGAGCATGCATATTTTGCTTTATTTCTTTGTGTGTTTTCCTCCTCTTGTTCTTTTTCTTTGGGGGCAGGGTACTGGGGACTGAACTCAGGGGCACTTGGCCACTGAGCCACATCCCCAGCCCTATTTCGTATTTTATTTAGAGACAGGGTCTTACCCAGTTGCATAGTGAATTGTCATTGCTGAGGCTGGCTTTGAACTCGGGATTCTCCTGTCTAAGCCTCCCAAGCTGCTGGGATTACAGGCATGTGCCACCATGCCCAGCTCTTGTTTTTTTTATGAGTAACATTTTTGTTTAGATTTTTAAAATACGTTGAGCCAGCTGTGGTGATACACACCTGTAACATGAGCTACTCTAAAGACTAAAGCAGGAAGATTGCAGGTTTGAAACCAACCTGGGCAGCTTAATGACACCATATTCAAATAAAAAGGGCTGGAGATGTTGCTCAGTAGTAGAGCACTGGCAGTGTGAGTGAGGCCCTGGATTCAAACTCCATTACCAAAAATAAAGTAAAACACTAAGAAATTGGCAAAATAATACATTTTGAATACTCTTTACCCAGTTTCCCTTAAATGATATTGTTTTACATAACTAATAATAAATGAGGATATTGATATTAGTATGACCGTTTGGTTTTGGAAGGGACGTGTTTTTGTAAAAACAACTTGGTTTTACCATATGTGTATTGACAGTGATTGGAAGTGGCTTGGAAGGAAAAATAGGTCCTAATCTCAAAATCTATATCTAATTGTAAATCCTGTTGATGTCATACTTCAGGTACCCTGAAAACAGAATTCTTTGAATAAGTTAAATTATGTAGTTGGTACTTAGCTAGGTTATAATAATCACACCTCTTAAGCTAAAATATTGGGGAATGTGACTACCTCTGTCACCTTGGTGCCTGTAGCTAGTTAATAAAACCAGGAGATGAAACAGTGGTCTTTGTTGTTATGGGTTTTTGGTTTTTGTTTTATTTTTGTAGTGCTGGGGATCAACCAATGGCATCACACATGCTACACACACACCCTACCACTGAGCTACACCTCCAGCCCTTGTGATATTTGCTTTTGTATGTTTTGCCACTTCTAATTTTTAGCACTTGAACCTTCCATTTAAAATGTAGATGCACTGAACACATAATAGTTCTTAAATTCTTATTTTGGGGTCAGAGGAGTATCTGCATCTCCATTTTACTGAAAAAAAGTTGTGGTATATACAAAGTTACTATTTCCAAGGATATGATAGGTCCATCGTCAGGCCAACTGCACAACTGCCAATCCTGTGACTTAGCCTAAGATTTGTGGTACAGTATTATCTTTGTTCCTAACAACATCTTGCCAGAATTTTTGTGTATGGTACTGGGGATTAAATTTAGAGCCTCATGCGTGCTAAGCAGACACTGTACCACTAAGCTATAACCACAGCCCTCTTTGCCAGAGAATTCTTCTTTTTTTTTTTTTTAAAGAGTTAGCTTTTTTTTTTTTTTTTTTTTTTAAGAGAGTGAGAGAGAGGGGGACAGAGAGAGAGAGAATTTTAACATTTATTTATTTTTTCTTAGTTCTCGGCGGACACAACATCTTTGTTGGCATGTGGTGCTGCTGAGGATCGAACCCGGGCCGCACGCATGCCAGGCGAGCGCGCTACGGCTTGAGCCACCTCCCCAGCCCTTTGCCAGAGAATTCTGCCATCACTTGCCATATATACAATTTGAATACAGAAATAAATAAATAAGAAAGATGCAATGAAAACAAAAAAACAAATGATTCAAAATTCTAATCCTATACTGTTAATTTGGCAGACTCTAGACTCAAACCCCTGCATTCTTTATTAGATTAGCCAACATCAGGAGAGGGTTTAAGAGACACTGGTGCTATACACACCTATAATCCCAGCCACTCAGGAGGCTGAGGCAGGAAGATCACAAGTTCGAGATGGACAAAGTGAGATGTGTTTTCTGTGAAAGAGTATTGTACACCTTCATTGCCTGCCTGAATCAATTATCAAATGCCATTTCTGACTTCTACTTGGGTGTCTTTCATGAAGGCCTCCAAAATCTGCAGGCAGATACAAAGGTGAGAGCAATGGATGGCCACAAACTCAAGAACACTCAACTATGGCTAGAAATTGTGGAGTTTGATCAGACTGAAATCCTTGTGACTTGTTTTTTGCTGAAGGGTTTGCCTTTCTCAGAGGAGAGTCCTGCTGTATTTTGGCCCCTTCACCAGTCATATCAAAGGAGGAGCTGTTAGATGTGACACAGGACTAGGTGGGCTTGGGCTGTGCATCTTGGGCTATACACTATTTCCTGAAGGTAGATCTAGGTCTGTTCAGTGATGAGCTCCTAGCATCCCCGGACTCAGCCTAGTGTGGGCTTCAGCAAATGTTGAGAAAGTTAACAGAGTACTACATGTTTACACTGTTGATACAAGTTGGTATGGTCTTGACGGGGAAGGAAAGCAAATGGAGCCTGAATCTTCAACCTTTAACTAGCCTAAGGAAAGAAACTAACTCGTCTAAGTCCTGCTCCCAAAACTGGAATAGCAAAGTGAACATGTTGTTTGTGTTTCTGTAAGGGAAAAGTGGACTTTAAGGGAAGATTTGAATCTATCTCAGGGTTTGTAGTAAGTGATGTTCTGGAATAACTCAGTGATGTCAAGACCAAAGAAAGAAGCAGACAGATCCAGGATTGCACAGAGTGCAATTTATTGGGGACTTACTGACAAGCATAGTTGTGGGCAGTAGCAAGACCAAGTGGATGCCTCCAACTTAGGTTAGAAGGAGGAACATATGTATTGTTCAGGACAAAAATGACTTCATCCTGGCTGGAGTGTATCTGGCTTTTCTTGAGCCAATATCAAAAGAGTTAGGTACATTCCTAGCACCAAGTTGCAAAGCTCCACACATCACTTTGATGATTTGGTCTGTTTATAGTTTGCTGGGAAACTAGGAAAAACCTGCTAGGGTTACTCAGGGGTAATCATCGAAATTATTACTCAAGATGGCTGCAGTCATTTCAAACTGAATCCGTACAGTGACCTCAGATGGATGAAGTGACTTCTCCATCCTGGCTCCTTATCTGTAAGTGGAATTATTAGAAAAATTGGAAATCCTTTGAAAGCATTTGGTACATTGTAGGCATTCACAGAACATACAACGTGACTATGTGAAACTGTGTTTGGTTTTGCTTTTTTGGTACCAGGGATTGAACCCAGGGGTGATTAACCACTGAGCCACATCCCCAGCGTTTTATTTTATTTTATTTTATTTTTGAGACAGGGTCTTAGTTGCTCAGGGCCTCACTCAGTTGGTGAGGCTGGCTTTAAACTTGTGATTCTCGGGGCTCAGCCACCCATGCCGCTGGGATTACAGACTTGTACCACCACACCTGATTGTGAGGATGATTATGGCTCTTGAGTCCATGCTGTGCCTTTCCCTTGTAGGGCGGGTTCAGTAAATATCTTAGCAGTAGAGCCAAGGTGTGCTTGTTTCTCAGGGCCCAAAGAGACTTGTATCTAATATATAAATATTTTCAAGTTCTCCCCTTTTCTTAAATTTTTTTTATTCAGTGCTGGGAATGGAACCCAGGACCTCACACATGCTAGGCAAGTGTTCTACCACTGAGCTACACTCTGTCCTTTAAAATTTATTAGCATTTTTGTGTGGGGGGGGGGTGGTTTTTTTGTTTGTTTTTACTATCAGCAAAGTTCAGTTTTTATTGTATATTACTAGATTTTTAGTCAAAAAGATGAAAGCCTTCATCATTATTGGACTCTGGATTCTTTTCTCTCCTATTTCTCAACTGGGGCAGCAATGGAGGAATGGGCAGGACTTCCTGCTGGTGTTACACCAGCTATTGGAGCTGGCCAACCAGTCTCTGTTGCAAATGAGGCTCCCAGTGTTGACAGTGGCCTGGGTCTTTGCAAATAACCAGGTCAAAAGTTTGAACATTTACACCACACCAGCTGCTTTAATGATGGCATTGATCTTATCCTCTGTGAAAATTACCTCATTATCAAGTAGGATGAAGGCAGAGAAGATGCAAGCCAGCTCAGAGACAGAGGCCATGGGGCTGGCTGCTGAGAATGGTTCTGGTTGCCAGATGAAGTGTGAGGGCCTCAACCCCCAACATGGCCTTGGTTTCCTTAGAAGACTGAGCACCTTGGTGGCCTCTAAGGAAAGAAGTATTTTGGTGATGGGGATTGAACCGAGAGGCACTTAACTGCTGAGCTACATCTCTAGCTCTTTTTATTTTGAGAAAGGATCTCCCTATATTGCTTAAGGCCTCACTAAGTTGCTGAGGCTGGCTTTGAACTGGTGATCCTCCCACCTGAGCTTCTTGAGCTGGTGGGATTACAGGTGTGTACCCCTGCACCTGGCACTAAATTTATTTGTTTGTCTATTTAATTTTTTTAGTTGTAGATGGACACAATATTTATTTATTTTTATGTCGTACTGAGGATTATACCCATTGCCTCACACGTGCTAGGTAAACGCTCTACCACTCAGCTACAACCCCAGCCCCACCAAATTTATTCTTGATTAGCTTTAATCTCAAACTTCTAGGCCAGTCCTGGGTATATTTTATGGAAAAATCTCTTCCCTATTGTTGTGATTGGAAACACCAGCAGAGGGCACCAGAAACTCAGAGTTTGGCTGGCTTTTGCTGGCCTTGCTGATGGAACCTCTTTGGG